TCTTTTCCATTCTAGTTTTTGCCAGTTTATCTCTCCCTGATTTGAATGAAATTGGGCCATCTTGGTAATACCTTTCTTGGATGTAAACATAACATGGTTTTTATTTTCCTTCCCATAATTAATTCAATCAGACTAACCTGTGGCTTGAAATGGCGTACTCCAGTATGCCATTAATGCTTGAAATGTGTCTGATTATTCCAAAATTCTTTTAGCTATTTTAACAGCGCTTTCCGCTTTCTGCTTCTCCATTTGCTTGAGGATAATGTGAACTTGATGTTATGAATTTAAATCCATAACTGTCTGCAAAATCTTTGGAAGCGTAACTTGAAAATTGTTTCCCATTATCACTGACAAGTTTAATGGGAATTTCCCGACACAAGAAGAAATTTTTTAACTTCCCTCTCATGCATTGACTTGTCATTGGATTAAGCTTTGCTATTTCTATATATCTTGAGAAATAATCTATTGCAGCAATATATTGGTGTCCTTGGTGAGTGAAAATATCTGTATTAACTCTTTGCCATGGTCCTTGAGAACTCGGCATTACTTTTAATTTTCCCTTTTTATTTGTTGGACAGTGTATGTTACAAAACGAACATTTTTTTAGATACTTCTCCAACTCTTGAGATATTTTAGGCCACCACACCGATTCTTTGGCTCTCTCTTTTAGTATTTGTTTAGTCCCAAGTGACCATTATGAAGTCTCCTTAATATTTCTGGCCAGTTTTTTCAGGTATGACAATTCTGTCCTGAAACCATAGTAAATTGTCATGAACTGACAATTCATTCCAATTTGGGAAATATGTCCATATACCTTCTTTTTATTTTTCATTCTTTGTAGGTTCGTCCATTTAATCTGAGATGTATTATTTCCTGTAATACAGTTTCCTGTTGAGTGGCTATTTTTATTTCATTTAATTTCTTATCTGATGCTGGTCTGTTTCTTGTCACACAGTCTGTGTATATGCCCACATCTTTGCTGGTATTACTATCAGTGTCAGATAAGGAACTTCTTGACAGTGTATCAGGTACAACTAGTGCTTTTCCTGGAATGTGTTCTGTTACTGGGTTATATCTTCTCAGTCTCATCAGAAGTCTTTGACATCATAATGGGGTATTGTACATACCATGTATGTTTATTAACAGTATAAGTTTATATTCTGTTAACGATTTAAAGGATTCAAGTCCAGTAACATATCTGTCAAACTTCTCACATGCCCATATACAGCTCAAACACTCTTTCTTAATTTGTGTGTATTTCCTCTCAGTGCTATTGAGTGTGTGTGAGGCAAATGCTATTATTTTAAAATTTTCATCTATTTCTTGAAATAGAACTGCTCTGAGACCATAACTGCTAGTGTCAGTACTAATTACTGAAGGTCTGGTTGGATCATAGGAGGATGGAGTGCTTGAATCAGTAATTTCTTTATTCTTTTAAAAGAATTCTCTTGTGGTTAATACAGTGTCATTTTTCAATAATTTGGTTATTGGTTGTATTGTTTCAGACAAGTTTGATAAGAATTTTCCTAAGTATCTGACCATGGCAATTATACAATGTAATTCATTCAAATTTGTAGGTTCAGGTAACTCCTGAAAGGCTTTGTCTTTCCTTGTTGGGTTAAATTACATTTCCAGATATTATATGTCCAAAATATTCTAGCTATGTCTTTTTGAATTCACCCTTTTCATTATTAAGCTTCAATCTGGCTTTTTGTAATGCTTTTTTTTATTTTACTCCTTGAATATTTTTCAATACTCTTGACATCTTTCTTTGAAATATTTCTGGAGCTGATGTTATACCAAAAGTGGTAATCTTTTGAAGCAATGTCTTCCAAAAGGAGTAATGAAAGTTGTGAGTAGATAACTTTCTTTACTTAATGGAATTTGGTATAATCCACTGGTTGCATCCAATTTAGAAAAAAATTTAGCTCCATTTAGTTTAGGCAAAATATCTAAATTTGGTAACATGTAATATTCCCTTTTCACTACTAGATTCAGTTTCTTGAAATCTACACATATTCAAACTTTCTTTTACTGCTGGTACTACCAATTGGTTCTATAACCTTTTCAATAATTCCCTCATTTTCCAGTCTATTCAATTCTTCCTTCACTTTTGGTAAAATAGGGAATGGGAATCTCCTAGCTGTTGTTACACAGAAGGTTGAAGCGTCCGGAATTTTTATCACTGAGTCTCCATTGATATACCCCCTGGCATCAAATGAAGGTCCCTGTTCTATTTTGTCTAAACATTTCACTAAATTCATTTTTACATATGTTTTTCAAGACAATAATTCTCTCCCTTTACATATTCATTGACATATATCTCTAAATAATATTTGTCCTTAATGGTATTAAATTTTCCAATGCATTGGATTATTTTGCCAGGACTTGTGAAGATGCCATTTACTGGTTTTAATATAGGTTTTTTTTTCAGATTTTTGTAAGTTTTAGTTTAGATAATGTTTATATCAGCACTTGTATCAATTTTACATTTCACCGTGGTTTTACAAATTTTAAAATTTTATACTATGGGTCATTTAAATTTGTTTCTGTCACTTCTTCTAGGAAATATTTTTTTTTCTTCATTTACTGTCTGTACCATATTTCTTTTAGTTCCACAGACTACAGCAAAGTGATTGATTTTCCTGTATTTCTTGAAAGGTTTCCCTTTTGCTGGACAGTTTTTAAAATCATCTATTTTATTACATCTAAAGCAATTACTGTTGTTTACACATTTTCTTTTTCATTTCATATCTCGTGGGTTTCTCTGGGTCTTTAGTTCGTCTACATTTTTCTTGTGGATTTCTTCCATTTGAGATTTTATTTGTTCACCACTCCTGGCCATCTCTGTAGGTTTCTCGAGTTTCAAATCAGCAATTAATTATAATCTTTCGGATAGGTCTTTAATCTGTAATACTATCACAAGAAGACGGTTTCTGATTTGGTTATTCTCCTTTGGAAACTCACATGCTAATTTGAACAAAGAGAACCAGTGGAAACTTTTATTCACGCATTGCAATGCGTGAATAAAAGTTTCCACTGGTTCTCTTTGTAACTGAACTCAAAGATAAAATTTGGGCCTTTTATGAATTATATTTCTTTTAGGCATGAAGTAGGCATTGAATTTTTTCAAAACTGAGTTGTACACATTTGCATCTTCTCATCATAAGAAAATGTCTAGAATATATTTTTGGCTTCACATCCCATACAATATATTAATGTAGTGATGTGAGTTTTGTTGCCTTCTTCACAGAGTTTTGATGCTTCTCAAAAGCATTGAAATCTCTGCAACCATTTCTGTCAATTTCTAGGTTTGTAAAATCAAACAGCTTTGGTGGAGTTAATTTGAACATTTTTTTTCTTTTGACGAATAAAAGAATGTTTTTTTTCAAAAATTGTATCCTGTTCTAGAAGATAATTTTCTTCTTTTAAAAAGAATCCCTCTCTGACACCATGTTCCAGTGGGCTTAGCATTGAAAGATATATTATATGAGACTGGCCGTTTGAAAGTCGAGCAACACGACATGTGGTCAACTCAACAAACTTTATTTAAACTCCCTGCTGAATCTGTCTTGATCCCAGCATTCCCTAGTGGAACTGGAAGTCCTTACAATCATTAATGATGTCGTTATAACAAGTAGTGACAAGATTCTCAATAATAATAAAAATAAGAGGAAGAAAAATAATACAATAAGAGACAAAGTTTATAAAAGAATGTTCACAGGCAAAAGGGATACAGTCAAGTGGCTATAGCCTTCTGACTTCAAAGCAAGAAAGAAAAAATGTAGGTAGACCAAGAATTGTCCATTTATATTGGCTAAGAAGAAATTCCAGCATGCATCTGTAGGATCTGTCTATAAATTTGGGGATGGAGATTTTTAGCAGTCATTTCCCAAGACTGAAACCGTCAACCCCCACTCTCAATGAAATGAATGAGTGCACTCATTCTCCTCCCCTTACACCCTCATTTTGGGGGGTTAATAAATATGATCAAAATAAATATCTATGTTTTTCTTTTGCAATTTTTTTAAATCACAAAGTGGTAGAAGAAAAAGAAAAAATATTTATATGCATTTTATTCATATTCATTAACCCCAAAAGGGAGAGTAATGACAAGGGGAATGAGAGCATTCATTCATTCAATTGAGAGTGGGGTGCTGGCTTCAATCTTGGGGAATGACTGCTAAAATTCCCTAAGATTGAAACCAAGAAGAAAAAGAATAAAAATCCTTTTTTTTTTTTCCTCAAGTGTCTAAGTTATTTCCTTGAACTCAAGAACTTCTTCCACTCACCATCAAAATGAAGAAGAGCTCAAGAATTTATCTGTTTATTTAATAAAAAATTCATTCGGGATGAAAGTGATGACTTGTTGCCTCAACTGAATAAACATTTACAGGCCAGGAGGAGTAAATATTGTGAGATAATAAATAATTTTTGAATAATTTATATTTTTTTATATTTGGCACAGTGGATAAAGGCGTTGGTTACATCCAGTGACAGGACCCAAAGAGTGTGAGTTCAATACCCGGTTAAGGCAGTGGAGAACTTTCAGAGGGAAATTAACAAGAGATAACTGATAACTGACATCCATCAAACATGGCATGTGGAACTAGAACAGTCTACCCCAGTGAGTGAAATAAAGGGTCCAGTTCGACATTCCAACCACCTGAAGATGGCTGGAGTGTACAACGGCTGAAATGTTGTGATAAATATGGCAACAAAGATGAGGACAATAGTCCGAATAATAATTTATTTTGTTGAAATAAATCAGCAATATTCATGTTCAACAGACACAAACTATTTTCAATTTAAATTAGATTTTCCCTTTTTTTTTTTTTTTTTAAAAAGATTCAAAGCCTTGATTCATGTCATTCTATAGATACCCTACCTGGCCCAAGAGTTAACCAGAACAGTATATAAGTGTTCAGGCTATCGTAAATTATTATTAAATAACAGAATTTATAGCAACTGTCATAGAATTGGAAAATTAAATATCCTACCTGTATTTTCTGATTGACAAACAATTCTTCAACAATTTTTCGATCTTTTTCTTGAAGGCCAGCATGATGAAGCCCACAGCCAAATGCTAATGTCAATTTCAGATTTGCATCTTTCACACCCAGCAGTAAGTTGTCCATCTAAAAAATAAATATATACACTTATCAACAGATTTTCTTCTAATAAAATAACTTTTTTAAAAAAGCCACAATATTTTATAATAGTTCTTAAAGGTCTTTATTATCAAATAAAAGATCACTATTAAAAAGTGTAGAAAATGCCAGCAGTCTCATTTTAATGGGGTCTTGTTCAGTCCATTCTTGTCTTACAACATAATCTGAAATATAAAAGCTGCGCAAAAAAACAGCTTATTTATTCATGTCCAACACAATTTTACATAAAATGTGATTCCAAATGTCTATATATTCACAAAATGCATAAATATCTTTTATTTTCATTTATAATACAATTACAACTTTATTAAACATGAAAGGTTAAAAAGATTTTTTTCTTTTTATGGGAGAAGGCTTATGCACAATATATCTTCTTATTAAACTCTAAACTTGAGCATCTTTAGTCTGCAGTCAAATTTGAGTACCATTATCATCAAAGTATCTTTCATGGTTGATGAAATAATTAACATTTCCCATATGATAACAATGGGTTTATATAGGCAGCAGTTCATATTGAATGATTATATTTTATGGCTTATCAACCCTTTTTAAAGCCAAAACATATTTTGGATTGTAGGACATTGCTTACAGTATACAATGTTCCCAAGCAGTACCACATCTAAGTACTGACCAGGCTCAACACTGCTTAACTTCAGTGATAGAACAAAAACTGGTGTTTCAGCATGATCTAACCATAATCATTTCATATAGAAACTGCCATACTTTAGCTGTTCATAAGACATATCATCATATCCTATCACCAATATCATTTTTAAGGTTCTTGATAGGTTTGTGAATCTAATTGTATGATAGGGGTTTATCCATTCTAGCAATTAGAGGCAGTTATAAGAAATGTAAATCCAACATTTTATAAATCTGTAAGATTTATGCAATTAACCCAACAGTTTAGTATCCCAAGTACGTCTGTAATGAAAGTGTTCCCATTAGCTGAGCTTACCAGGATACAAATACCATGAGTTGGGTCACTGGTGCACTTTCTGACATTGAGGAAACTGTGTTAGAGTTTCACATCTATCTTGCCTTAAATGCCTTTGACCTTGTATTGCCACTGTTTTTTTTATTAATGTAGAGTTGTTTGAACTTTGTTGCATAAGCTTGCATGAGCACCATGCAGGTTTTTCGACAATAGGTTGTTGATAGCTACAATATATATATATATATATATATACACACACACATTACTTCTTGTGCAGTGGGGTTTGTATTTCAATGCTGATATCATTGAACCAATCCTGGTATCTGGGCTCTGAAATGCTAAATACTTCAATTGCAGAGAGTGTTGCAGAAGTAATTCAGCATGCTGATTACCTACAATGTGCTGTATTTAGCACTCAGTACAGGTTTTTTGGTTACTTAAGAAAAGGTAAAGATAAGAGTTTCTGTCATAAAAAAAATCCTGTCAGCTGTATATGTGGAATGGTATGGTTAATAAAGAAGAGGATATTAACATTGCAAGTCATTGTAGCTAATCAAAAGCACTTGTTCCTTGTTTGACTGTTTATAAGACAGAGTTGAGAGAAGCACCACTGTACATAGCAGATACTTTCTTGATAAAAGTAAATAAAACTGACAAGTTATTGGGTTGTATCAAAAGTATTTTCAATTTTATATAATGTTGTTTATATAAAACACTTAGCTCACACTCTATATATGATATCTTTCAATGATTACAAATTTGAAAGTTTTCAAGTGCTGACTATCACGTTCTGTCTTTGACTAGGAGAACCCAATTGCTAGCACTTTGAAACTTTCTTAATCAACAACTGTTGGTTATCCACTGATGAATTTTTTTTTCAAGGGACATATTTTGAAATATTTAAACTAATTTTGGAAAGTAGAGTCAAATTTTGTTTCAAGTCCTTTCATTTCATAAATTCTGCAAACAGCTTTGAGTCCCAATTTAGAATTTTTTTTGTATCTGCCATTATAACATCTGATGCAAAAGGTACAGAAGAATAATATATATATATATATATATATATATATATATATATATATGTATAAAACAGAGGATGTCTGTGTGATACCTTTTTACTCAAGATCCATTCAACCAACTTTGGCTAAACTTGGCACATACATTGTACAATGTAAGAGATATGTTCTTAGCATAAAAAATCGATAATTTAAAAAAAAAAACATCAATAATCAGTAAAACCAATCCAAAATTTATAAATTCAACTTTTTTCCTCTGATTTCATTCAAACTTGGTACATAGGTTACTTACATCATGAGGAGCTCAAAAATACCTCATTTTCATTTCTATGCCACTGCATTCAGTGAAAAACGAAAAAAATCGATTTTAACACAAATTTGAAACTAAAAACTCCCTCAATTTTCAAGCAATCTAATACAAACTTCACTCAGTTGTAACCAAGAATAAGCTGATTTTTAACAGTCATTTAACTTGATAATTGAGTCCATCCATATCATTAAAAACCACATAAATAGTGAAAAATAGAAATTTTTACTGGTTTCTTTCTTTGCTCCATTCTAATTGAATGCTTTTTTCTGATCAACCAGCTGGGTATGGCTGCTAGTTTATAAAATTATTGTGCTATGGTCAATATAAGAATAAGGAATCTATGCAAATTTATGAATTAAAATGTCATGATCACGAGTCCCGTAACACATTGTAGGGGCACCACATTCACTGCAGCCACAGTAGAAGTGGTGTCTTGGGCAAGATAGGTTGGTTTGAATTCAGACTTTTTTCTCCTAGACCAGTTGCCACCCAAACTATAGAACCCAGTCTGTCCTCTTATTTTCCCATAGCTGGTGGGAGAAGAGATGGATTCATACCTTTCCCAAGGGTATCAGCATATAAGTGAATGTAATGAACTCATCTAGAATTCAAACTCAGCTCTCTGATTCCTCAATATGAGCTGCAATCCATTACTCCACAGTGCTTCCTAAATTAAAATGTATGCAATTGTTAAAATGTTAAAAAAAATGGGGTAACAAACAAGTAAATGCCAACATTTTAGAGTTTTAATTATTTAAATATGAAGCCCTATTAATTTATTTAATTAAACATTGGCTTGAAGAGCTTACGGTCAAATCACGCTGAAAACACCGGTTCTCGTTCGATCACCGAAGTTAAGCATCGTAGAGCCAGGTCAGTACTTAGGTGGGGGACCGCTTTGGAACACCTGGTACTGTAAGCCCTCAAAGTCCAACCCTTACCTCACAGTCGGTGGGGGGTGTAAACGGTAGTGTCAGAGCTATGCCGCCCGGAACTTCGTTCCTGGTAGGGCCACCCAAGGCGGACAGGTCTGACACACACGCCAGCTAACAAGGGCTCTGGTCAAAATCCAAGGAGCGTCTGCATCGGTAACCGGCGGCTTCTGGTCGTTCCTGTCTGCGTCTGTGGGAACCCCGCGGCAAGCAAGAACGTTATCCGAGTAGGCCTGGGTACCCTACTTCTGTAATTTATCCCAAGAATCTTCTTCTCATAACAGGAAGAAGCCGGCTCAATCTGCCCAGGGTGAATGCCGCTACAGTACAGTACAGTTAATTCTTGAAGTCCTTAATTCAGCATAATCTATTTTTGTAGATGTTCTACATTGTTTACATTTTTGGCATAAACTTAAAAAAATATTTAAGTGTTTATTCATATAAAGTTAGGACTTATGGTATACTAGGAATTCCCAATTATGAAATATGTCAAATATGTAATTGTGGCAGTGTTAGAAATTGATTTTAGGAGCATGAATTTCTATTGCAAACAGAACACAACCCTAAACTCCTGAAGTACCCAACAGAAATAAACCATTCTCAATTTTTCATTGTAATTTTGAAATTCATCCCATAGTTGTTAGTTACAAGAATTTCTTTTATTAAATAAAGAAATGTTTAAAGAATCAAAAAAATATAAAGTCAAATTATATTTTCAAGTAAGAACCTTTTTAAAAGAATTTTATTTTATGTTTTCCTTTTAACAACTGTTAAATTATTTTTGTTATTGATGTACAAAAAAAGACATATTTTTGATATCTTGTTTTGACTGACTACTATTCAATATCAGAAAAGTATTATGAATTAATCTAATTTTGTATCTCCTGTTCAGTCAGTTTTTGTCTTGAAAGACCCTTTTTACTGATTCATCAGTATGGGTATTATTTCTGTTTTTTCATGTCTCTCTTTTCCAGCATTTATTAACAGATTCTTGTATTTTTTTTTTTTTAAGCGTTTCACCCCAAGCAAGGTGGGAAGCCACTAGGACGCAAGGGGTTACAGAAAATTTAGAGCAAGATCAGATAGGAGTGATAGAAGAAAGGATGAGGAGAAGTTGTAGTAGATAGATCAAGGCAACTGGAGATGTCGATTGACATTACAAAATACAAGAAGTACCAATATATTTACTTCAGTAATTAAACGTAAATTGTTCTGCACCAAGAACATTTTCAGAATAAAAAGAGTAGGAATTAGTAAAAGTTTATTATAATATCAAGTTTTAATTAAAAATTGTAAATTAAAAACAAGAAAATTTGATCCTGGAAAATTTGGTATTGGAAACTTTTACTTTTTTTTTATTTATTACAGTCAGGATCACCTTGTAAAGACCTAGGGGCAACTAGAGGTAACATGTTAGAGGGGCAGTTATCTTCCCCTCCTATGGATAGTTTGAAGTTTGGGAGAGGAGCTTCTGTCATATAGGACCAAAAGCTTCCCCAGTTTGTCTCCACATAGTGAAAAACTATTCTGTGGAACAGTAAATCAGGGGATGTTATTAGTTAGGAGTCAATCTGGACACTGACTAGGGAATCATCTGACATGCCAATGAGGGCTAAAGCTCTTGCTGAGCATTTGTCAGGGCAGGATATTAGAAAAAGGTTGAGGATATTCAACTGCTGTCAATCATGGCTCTCTGCAATTTCTTGTCCTTTGTAGCTCTTAGTTAAGTTTGTTTTTCTATTATCTCTTCTAATCCCTGTTATGCCAACCAT